GCTGCTGCTGCTGATCCAACCATCCTGCTAATATTCAGCTGCTGATCGAACCATCCTTCTAATATTCAGCTGCTGATCGACCCATCCTGCTAATATTCAGCAGCAGCTGCTGCTGATCGTAATAATTAGCTAAAATGTATTCCCTCATATCTTGCCTGCGTTGATTTATGCATCACCTGATGATTACACTGCATTCAGGTAGTGGTCAAAGTACAGAAGCACCTGGATGTCCCCTGTCCCTTGTCCCCTGTCCACTCTTTAATGACCGTGCTGTAGTGAGGGGACGCACAGTTTGAACGCAGCCAGAGTTCTAGATGGTTCTAGTTCTAGATCAGTGCTCCACCTGCTGCTTCCTGCTGATGTTTGTGTTTGTTTGCTCTTCCTCTTGTGTATTTGTTAGAAAAGACACAAATGTAGAGTTTCTAACAGATTTCATCTTGGAAAGAGCTTTGGGTTGACAGTTCAACTGATCTGAGTCAAAAGCACAACTTCAACCTTCTTTGCAGATATTTGTGTTCATTTTTTACTTTTGCTTTACACGTTGATTTCCAAAGTATTTTTTGATTTGCTTTGTTGAAATCTGTTTATTTTTGCTTTTTAATACCTTAGAAAAAACTCGCTCCTTACAGTTCAGTGTTTGTTCTGGATGTAAGAATAAACCAGGGCTGGAAGCCTCCATCGTCCCGCCTCTCTGCTGCAGATCTACTGACAACAGTTTTAAAACGCTTCGACCTCGTTGTTTTCTCCCTTTACGGACACATTGTTCTGATCACTGAAGGCGCATATTGATACGGCGTTTGATTACAGTTTAAGGTCAGTCTACTCGCTGTCACCAACGGCTGACACGACAAACACAAACTGAGCTCATTTTTATTATTAACCTTTATTTCCAGGCAAGTCTTCTTGAGATCACAGATCTCTTTGTGAGGGAGGCCTGGACCTAAGGGCAGAATAAACGTGCACCATTTTGGACTGTGGGAGGAAACTGAATATCCACACAGATGTGAGGAGAGCATGGTCCAAACTGGGGATTGAACCCAGGACCTTCTTGCTGTGAGGCAACAATGCTAACCACTAAGTTGCTCTCCTGGCAAATTTTACAGATATTGAGCTAAAAAAGTAGTAACTAAGCGTCATCCACAACTGACATGTGCACACACATCTTGTGAGAGGTTGCTGTATCAAGGGCCCGTGCGTAAAGTCATTGACGAGCTTTGTCCAGTTCCACCTTCACTGCGTCCCTTCTCATCATCCAGAGATCTTGGTCTATGAAAGACCTTCAAGGGAAGTTAGGCCTTGACTTATGCTCATCTTTGTCACTTTGCAACTGTACGTTGCGTTCCCCATCACGGTACATGTACCTCCATATGTGCTCACCCTCACTCCACCTTCCACTTGTTTCCTCCCCCTCTCTCTTAGCTTCCCACCTCTCCTCCATCTCTGCCTGAGGAGGTCATGGTCCGGACGTCCAGCCCCGTCCCTCTGCGCTCTCCCAGTCCTCACACCCTCCTGACAACGCTGTCAGACCCACTGCAGCAGCGCCAGCCAGCAGGCATCCGGCGCAGCCAGTCGGCCGACCAGCCGCAGCATCAGGAACGCCCATCCTCCTCTTCCTCCTGCCACGCCCCCCTTCCTCTGCCGCCTAACCCTTCCCCAGGCGCTCGCTCGCCCAGCCGCAGGAAACTGCCGGCCATCCCTGCTGGTGCTGCCAACACCAAGTTTCCCTCAGTCATTCGCATCACCCGCGCCCAGCTTCAGCAGGTGATGGAACCAAGCACTGCCCCCCAATCAGTTTTTGATTTTCGTTTCCTTCTTTCTGTTGCTGATTTAGTTTTTTTGTTCATTTTGTCTTTCTGGTTGTGTTGCTTGAAACCATAAAGGCTGGTTTAGTCATTTTTGAACTGACGTTTTGTCAAATCGTTATCAATAAATAAATGTCATGTCTAATAAATACCACTTATAAATAAAGTGGTATGGTAATAAATATTACCTAATCAGCTGTGACATCAGGCAAAGACTGAGCATGGAGAAAAGGGCAAAAGTTATCATCTAAGTTTGGCTAATGGCTAAATGAGGGCTTGAAGGGTCCTCATCTGGGCTTAAAACCACGTCTTTATCAAATACTGGTGTCAAAGAAAACTACGTTTGCTAATAATAAATCTTTATATTTTCACACGGTAACGTTTGTTTAGTTTGTTGCTGTATTCTCAACCGAACAGCGTCAGTGTTGTTGGTTAAAAATGTCCTTGCATCATCTTCTTAAACAAAGGAGCTCACAGGAGAAGATTTCTCATCCCAGTTTACGTGCAAGGGCAGCCTTCACCACAGGCTTACACACATGTTCAAAGTTACATGCTTACTGCCCCGTCATGAGGATCTGCAACGGGCAGTGTACAGGAAGTGTTTTTATACACAGCACGATGACCTCGGCCTCTTGGACTCGGAGGCGTCAGGTGCCTGCAGGCTCCTCTCTGAGCTCACACACACGGTCAACAATAATTTAACAGTAGCAGTGAGAAACATCCAGTACCAAAAGTCCCAGATTATGTCACTTGGAGAACGTGCTAAACTTGGAGCATAGTCCGCTGATGGTGCTGAGGCTGCTGAATTCATCAGTATAGCTGGAGGTAAGTGAACATTTGAACTGCCTCCACATTTTCAAGTATCAGTTCAACTTGTTTGGTTGAGAAAACAGCAACAAACTCAACAAATGATGTCATGCAGAAGTGTAGCTCTTTAGTGTTTGCTAATGTAACGTTTCCTCCACACTGTTGTGCCATTTTTGAGAAAAAAGGTATTTTCTAAGTTTAAAACCCCCAACAACTAGCCCTCATCCAGCTAGCCATTAGCGTAGCTTGAACAAAGACTGCTTCCCTTTCCTCCGTAGTCTGTGCTGTGACTAAAGGTCACGGTGGGTGAGGTGTAACTATTTGACCGGACATGACTTCAGAAATGACCGGACTACAGGCCAGGCAGAGCATGGGGTCAGACGTGTCCTTGTGTCGTGTTGTCACGTGAGAAGTCTTTTTGTCTGATTGTGGCATGTCTGTTTGGAATGTCGAGTCATGACTACAGGTTGCATGGTCTCTTTTGTTTCAGATCGTCTTTGTCCTCTTGATCTTTCTCTTCCTCTCTCTGTCCCTGTATTTGTTCCTCACCCTCTCTTCGCTGAAGCCCCCTGCGAAGTTGCGTGAACGTTTCCTGTCCTACTTGCTGGTTTAGTACTCACAGCTTGACTGACACTGCCATAGCACTTGTGTGTTTCGCTCTGATAATGGTAGCTATGGTACTGCATGCTGTCACCAAACTAATCACCATTATTTACCACATAATACCAAATTGCTCTCACATCCTCATCCGGCTCTTGCTGCAGATCTACAGCACCAACTGCACTTGTTGTAATCTATCAGCAACAGACGTTGTAAATATAAGAATTTAATTCCCAGTTTGATAGGGATGTATTTTTAATAACACTTGTTTGTCTTTCTCTTTTCGTTTACCGTCCCCTCCACACAGCTGACAGCTCAGCGTCCATCTGGGCTGTCCTCTCCGTCAGGATCCAACAGTCCTCCACCATGCCTCGTGCTAGAGAAGTATGGTGAAGCTGAGGCCAAGGCTCAGCAGAAAGAACACACAGCAGACAACAGCTCCCCACAGAACCAGTTGCCCATCCACCCAGTAACACCGACTAACCCGGTTGAAACGCTGGTCAGTGAAGACTACCACACCAAAGCTCAAAGGCCCGTGCCAAGCTGTTCATCCTCACCACGTTCCCCCCGTTTGACGCATTCACCTCCTCTGTGCTCACCGTCCTCACCACATTCTCCTCAGAGCCCTGTTTTGACCAATGGTTGTCTTTCTTCTCCTGTCGGCAGCCAAAATATTGCTCTCCCTAAGCTAAAAGACCCCAACAGTGATTCCCGTCCCACTCCATCTGCCACAGAAGCTCAGATAGAGGAGGGAAAGGGTGGAGATGTGAGTATGGCCCCACAACAGACTGATGGTCCAGCCTCTTCCCCTGCTGCCCCCCGCAAGGACCCCAGCCGGAAGCAAAGCCGCATTCCCGTGCTTGAACCCTCCAGCCTGCTGGAGCTCCCTCCTCCAGGCTCTGCCAAGGAGAAGCTTTTACAGAAAAAAGCCAGCCATCAGGGCTCAGTGCCCTCACCAACAGCCTCTCCCTCCCTATCTGATAGGCGTGGCCCCGTTGTTGCCTCCCTCGTTAGGGACCCATTGTCCTCCACTTCTGACCGCTCCCAGGATGAAGACTCTCTCATGGGCTCTCCATCTGACCGCCAGGGAGATGAGGCGCCATCTCTCTCATCCTCCTCCAGCCCTCTGTCTCGGAAGAGCAGGATTCCTCGTCCAGTGCATCCTGCCTCCTCTGCAGAGCAGCTGAATGCCCACTTCCTGCCACGCCCACCCCCTGGAAAGCCACCTTGTCGCCCCACTGCAGATGGCAGGTAACGTGGTGTTTTGGAACTTACAGGAACTTTGTATTTTATAGTGCAATGCTGTGGAAGTGTTTCATACCCCTTCAGCACATTTTGTCACATTCCAACCACAAACTTCAAAGTACAAAGTTCAAAGTATAAAGTACAGAGTACAGAGTACAAAGTACAGAGTAGTTCCTAACTGTGAAAGAAAACGATGTATGGAGATTTGTGTTCTCTTTATCCCTCTCTCTCTCCTCTATTCCTATCTCCTTCTTTACATTTTAACTCTTCTCTCACTTTTCTGCTTTGTTAAAAAAAAAAAAAAAAAAAACGATGTATGGACTCAAATCTTTACATGAATAAATCCTTAAAGTGTGGTGTGCCTTTGCATTCAGCCCCCCCGAGTCATACTCTGTAAAACCACCTTGTGCTTCAGGTTTTTGGGATTTGTCTGTACCAGATTTCACATTGAGAGTGAAAGTTTGGCAGCTCGAGCTCGTTCATCCATCCATCCATCCATCCATTATCTTCTGCTTATTCCGAAGTCGGGTCGCGGGGGCAGCAGCTTGAGCAGGGAGGCCCAGACATCTCTTTCCACAGCCACCTCTTCCAGCTTTTCTGGGAGGACTCCAAGGCATTCCCAGGCCAACCGAGAAACATAGTCTATCCAGCGTGTCCTGGGTCTTTCCTGGGGTCTCCTCCCAGTTGGACATGCCCGAAGCACCTCTCTGCGGAGGCGCCCAGGGAGCATCCTTACCAGATGCCTGAACTACCTCAACTGGCTCCTCTCGATGTGGAGGAGTAGCGGTTCTACTCCGAGTCTCTCCTGAATAACTGAACTTCTCACCCTATCTCTAAGGGAGAGTCCAGCTACCCTGCAGAGAAAACTCATTTCAACCGCCTGTATCCGCAATATAATTCTTTCAGTCACTACCCAGAGATCATGACCATAGGTGAGGGTAGGAACGTAGACCGACCGTAAACAGAGAGCTTTGCCTTACAGCTCAGCTCTCTCTTCACCACAACGGACCGGTACAGAGTCCGCAATACTGCAGATGCTGCTCCAATCCGTCTGTCAATCTCACGCTCCATTCTTCCCTCAATCGTGAACAAAACTCTGAGATACTTGAACTCCTCCACTTGAGGCAGAACCTCACCCTCAACCTGAAGAGAGCAATCCACCCTTTTCCGGTTGAGGACCATGGCCTCAGAATCAGAGGTGTTTATTCTCATCCCAGCCCCTTCACACTCTGCTGCGAACCACTCCAGTGAGAGCTGAAGATCACGGCATGATGTCGCCAACAGGACCACATCATCTGCAAAGAGCAGAGATGGAATCCTGAGGCCACCGAACCGGAAACCCTCCGCCAGCTGGCTGCACCGAGAAATTCTGTCCATAAAAGTTATGAACTGAATCGTGACAACTGGCAGCCCTGGCGGAGTCTAACTCCCACTCTGAAGGGGTCCGACTTACTGCCAGCAATGTGAACCAAACTCTCGCACTGCTTGTATAGGGACTGAACAGCCCGTAACAACGGGTCTCCAATCCCATACTCATGGAGCACCCCACACAGTGTACCTTGAGGACCACGGTCGAATGCCTTCTCCAAGTCCACAAAACACATATAGACTGAATGGGTAAACTCCCATGACCCCTCAAGGACCTTAGTGAGGGTAAAGAGCTGATCCAGTGTTCCACGGCCAGGACAGAACCCACATTGTTCCTCCTCGATCTGAGGTTCGACCAACAATCGGACTTGCTTCTCCAGTATCCCTGAATAGACCTTACCAGGGAGGCTAAGGAGAGTGATGCCCCTATAATTGGAGCACACCCTCCGGGTCCCCCTTTTTGAAGAGGGGAACCACCACCCCAGTCTGCCAGTCCAGTGGCACTGCCCCCGATGTCCATGTGACGTTGCAAAGGCGTGTCAGCCAAGACAGCCCCACAACATCCAGAGCCTTAAGGAAATCTGGGTGAATCTCATCCACTCCTGGAGCCCTGCCACCTCAGAGCTATTTAACTACCTGGGCGACTTCAGTCATGGTTATGGACGGATCAACCCCAAAGTCCCTCGACTCAGCTTCCTCCATGGAAGACGTGCTGGTGGGATTGAGAAGGTCTGAGAAGTATTCCTTCCACCTACCGACGACATCACTGATTGAGGTCAACAGCACCCCACCTTCACTGAACACAGTGTTAGTAAAATGCTGCTTTCCCCTCCTCAGCCGCCTGATGGTTTGCCAAAATCTCCTCGGAGCCGACCGACAGTCTCTATCCAAGGTCTCACCAAACTCCTCCCACATCAGAGCTACCAGGTGGTGATCAGTTGACAGCTCAGTTCCTCTCTTTACCCGAGTGTCCTAAACAAATGGCCACAAATCAGATGACATGACTATGAAGTCAATCATCGATCTACGACCTAAGGCGTTCTGGTGCCAAGTGCACTTATGGACACCTTTATTTTCGAACATGGTGTTCGTGATGGACCAACTATGACTAGCACAGAAGTCCAACAACAGAACACCGCTCGGGTTCAGATCAGAGAGACTGTTCCTCCCAATCATGCCCCTCCAGGTCACACTGTCACTACCCATTTAAGTCCCCCAGCAGAATAAAAGAGTCCCCAGCTGGCGCACCTTCCAGCACCCCTGCCAAGGACTCCAAGAAGGCCAGATACTCTGAACTGTAATTCGGCACGTAGGCACAAACAACAGTCAAAGCCTGTCCCCCCACCTGAAGGCGAGGGAAGCCACCCTCTCATCTACCAGGGAAAACTCCAACACACAGGCACCAAGCTCGAGCTCAGTCAGAACTTTTAGGACCAATCAGCTGGATTCATGTCTGATGCGGTCCAATGTTCCCCCCAGGCCACTTGCCTTGGGAGGGAGCTTGTCTCCTCTCTTCAGTGATTCTGTCGACTGGAGGGGGGGAGAAGTCTTGCACATCGGTGGTGACAGCAGTCGGTGGTCTGCTAATCTCTGCTCCCCGTCCAGAAGTGACGGAGCAGAGTGTGTGTGTTGGGGGGTGGGGTGGGGGTGGGGGGGGGTGTTGATTGGAAGGGTGCTCGGTCCTGTTGACAGGGCGGGGCCCCCTTCTTGGATAATGATAGGGAAACTCTGCCACCATTCTTGATAATGCTTTAACCTAACCCAGTGTTTCCCCGACCATGATACAAGCAGGGCGTCCCCCCATCAACAGAACCGAGTGCCCTGCCTACCAAACTGCCCCCACCCCCATCGACAACTGTGGGCACTGACGTAGCACTAAGCTAGTTGCACGCAATACAGACATGCTAGCTACAAAACTACAAAGGTAGCATGCATCAGGATACATAGGTAGCACTTAGTTTCCCTCACGCTGACGAAGCCCCCCTCCTCTTCCCCCCCCCTCCGACCGCCGCCCCCCCCCCCCCCCCCGAAAACTGTCAGTACAAACAACGTGCGACACGGATGTGCAGCGTTAGTTTTCTGCCAGTTAGCTACTCCTGAGCTGTAGATGCTGCAGTTCCTCCAAAATGACCACGGCCTTCTTGTGTCCTTTTTAGATTAATGCAGTCTTTGCCTCACCTGTCCGTTCAGGTGAACGGCCGTGTGTTGGAAGGGTTCAGTTGTGCCGTACTCCTTTTACACACGATGGACTGAACCGTGACATGTTCAGAACTTTTTGTTTTATAACCACACTAACTTTAAGCAACACTTCTTCTCCTGGAGCTTGTCAAAGGAAAATGACCCTCAGCTGCTGCTTGTTGGCACCGCCCAGGACTCAGGAACCAACTACTTGAATCCTGACCTATCTGATATGTTCCTTGGTCTTCATGATGTTGTTTGATCATTAGTGTTCTGTAACAAACCTCTGAGGACTTCACAGAACAGCTGGATTTATGCACTAATGAGGTGACATCTGAATGTCAGCGTAAAACACCACACTTTCCAGATTTTACTTGTCAAGAACAAAACGACTTGAAAAGGACGTGTTCCTTTGTGTTGACGTGTCTCATAAAATCTTTCTTCTGGTATAACTGGACTTAAAGTTCCAGGCGTATGGAGGAAAGCTTTTCAGATTGCTCTGTTGTTGTTATCCCCTCATGCAGACCCAGGCGTTACCGCATTCGAGCTGGCAGCACCAGTGACTCGGACCTCCTGTCGTGCCTCGCCCAGCTGATGCATGGCTCCCGCGGCTCCCCCCTCCACCCCTCAGTTCAGCACGGGGGCTCCAGATTGGGCATCTGCAGCTTGACAAGCTCTCCGCTGCACCATCGCAGCTCCAGCGCTTTTCTGCGAAGTTCCTCTTCCTTGCATCGCTCCGTCAGCTCCTCGCCATCCCGCCACGAGCACTGCGGCGGCACAGGAGGGGTCTGTTTGGGCCGCAGCCACTCGCCCCCCAGCTTTTCCAGCTCCCCGCCTCCCCGCCGCTTCTACCTCCACCACCAGGAGACGTGCTGCAGCCGCCAAGCGAGAACAGGTTCCCTCCACCTGTCCAGGGGGAAGGGTTGCAGCCGAGAGGGCAAGTGCTCCAGCAAGCTGAGCAGATAGCTGCGCCCCTGGTTGCCCCCCCAGCAGAGGAACATTCCCAACACCACGGTACAATCACAGTAAGAATAAAAGCCTGAGTCTTCCTGGTAAAGCTAATAATTAGTTTCATTCCGTGCTGTTGGATAAAACTCGCAGGTTACACCAGTTCAGCCCCAGTTGTGAAAACGATGGGATGTTGTGTTAGAAGGGTCAGAAACACAAAGCAGCGTTTCAAATCTCATTAACCCGTATTTTATTCACAACACAACACTGTAACCATCAACTCTTAAGAACTGACGAGACGTGTCCCATTCTTGTCTAACCTAGGACCCCAGCTCTTCAACACGGTTTTATTCATTGATTCATTTTTATTCTAACATCTGGAACTACTTTCCTACATTGATGGTGCCTTTCCAGATGTGCACGTTGCTCATGTCATAGTGCACCTCCATGCTGAACTGTGCGCTAACAACCGGCTGCGCGGTTCTGCTGCTTTTTAGTACGGAGGATGTGTCTGCAAAACTAATCTGAACTGTAGATGACCTCTGACCTCTGAGCTCTGAACAGATTTCTACTGAAAGGGTTTCATTATTTTTAGATGCAGCTTTTGGGAGGGTGGTGAACCTCTGCCCATCTTTACTTCTGAGATGTTCAGCGTGCTGTTTTTAAAGCCAGCCGTCCTCCTGACCTGCGGTCAGTTAACAGAACTGTTTGAAAACTTCGGCTGTTTGTTTTGTGCCACTTTCTTTGACAGCGGCTTTTTAAAAACGTTTCAGAAGGCGGACAGATTATCGTCTTCCTCCGTCGTCTGGCCCAGAACTTCTGATCCACACAAGATAATTAAACCAAACTTAATGCGTACGCTTCATCACAAGAAGGAGTGTCGGGTACCTCAGCTTCAAGGTCAAGGTCACAAATCAAGGTCAAAAGTTGTACAAGTTATTGGCTTGTCTGGTCCATAACTTCTGATCCACTCCAGATAATTTATCCAAACTTGATACAGATTTGTACGACCTCTACACGACCTCTGCATCTTGTTTTCATCCCCTAAGGTCACAAGTCAAAGTCTAAACTAATTCAAGGTCTTTGCTGTTCTGGGCCATTTCTGTAGATTGCTGTACAACAGTTTGTTGACGATGTGTCCCTCATGTCACATTCATTATTTTCTCCTCATCCCAAAACAGTTGGTGTCATATTTGCCATGTTTACTATTTATTCACTTACAGTGAATAAAACTGGGGTTATGAGATTTACTACTTACTGTGTTCTGTTTGTTGTTGTTGTTTGTTACATTCTACACAAAATACATGAATGGATCAAACAGTAAGTAGTTGAGCCAACGGCACTTCAGCACTTATCTTTGATCTACCCTGTTTCACAATGTGTACTAATATATTTTTAAATCCCTGACATTCGTGTACTTTGTTACAGTACTAACTGAAGTACTTACTGAAGTACTTACTGAAGTACTTACTACAGTACTAAGTGAAGTACTTACTGAAGTACTTACTACAGTACAAAGTGAAGTACTTACTGAAGTACTTACTACAGTACTAAGTGAAGTACTTACTGAAGTACTTACTACAGTACTAAGGGAAGTACTTACTGAAGTCCTTACTACAGTACAAAGTGAAGTACTTACTGAAGTACTTACTACAGTACTAAGTGAAGTACTTACTGAAGTACTTACTACAGTACTAAGTGAAGTACTTACTGAAGTACTTACTACAGTACTAAGTGAAGTACTTACTGAAGTATTAAGTGAAGTACTAAGTGAAGTACTTACTGAAGTATTAAGGGAAGTACTAAGTGAAGTACTTACTGAAGTATTAAGGGAAGTACTAAGTGAAGTACTTACTGAAGTATTAAGGGAAGTACTAAGTGAAGTACTTACTGAAGTATTAAGTGAAGTACTAAGTGAAGTACTTACTGAAGTAGAGGCGTTTCAGCAGAGCTGAGTGGCGGTCAGTGAATGAGTCTGACTCGGTAATGGTCTCTGCTCGTGGAGGTTGCAGGCGGGGCACCATATAATCATTATTCCTTTGACATTTTGCAGACAGCTGTTTGTACCAAAGGGTTTATTTAGATGTTTAACTCTGTGTCCATGTCGTGCTGCCTGTGTGAGGTCTTTCAGGTGTGTGATGGGGCGTCCTTAGAGGGAAGTGTTTAACTGAAGGGTGACTCACGGTGACCCTTTGTACAATCAGTCGTGTCAAATGTGTGACGACGCCTTTTTGTGCCTCCTGTGGCGCTGTGAGCCCGAAAGCCACTCTGAACCAAGGAAATGCACGATGGGAACACACACGGTGCATTTGTGATGTGCACGATGGGAACACACACGGTGCATTTGTGATGTGCACGGACACAGATGTTTGTCTCAGCTTGTGCCTTGGCACTTTGGGCAGCTTGAAGATTCACTCTGGTGTGTTTGTAATTGAAACAGAGCCAAAAGAAGCCGTGCCAGCGTCTGTCACACGAGCCTTCTATTGTAAATCAGGCAGATGTATTATTATTATTATTAATGTTATTATTATTATTATTAATGTTATTATTATTATTATTATTATTATTATTATTATTATTATTATTATCATGTGTCTGTAAAACACAAAGAGTTTGAGAACGCTTTGATTTGATATCAGAGTAGCAGGTATCATAAACAGAAAGAATACATTTTGTTTACACTCGTGTGTGTGTGTGTGTGTGTGTGTGTGTGTGTGTGTGTGTGTGTGTGTGTGTGTGTGTGTGTGTGTATATTGTGTATAGGTCATAATTTGAAACAAGGAAGTAATTTCTTAAACACATATTTGGCTGAAAACAAAGGACGTGCACTTTTCTCTCATGTCCTATGCCTTCATGTAAAACATCAGTTAAATTTATTTTGCTGAAGAATTTCCAAATGTGATTTGAGCTGAGCAGCATTGACCCCCCCCCCCCCCCACACACACACACACACACACACACACACACCGTAGGACGCTGCACACTAACTCCAGCTTTTTTCATGCACAAACTATAAAGTACAGGCCTGGTTGAACGACTGCCCGTCGTGCTTCAGAGTTGGACCAGCTTGTTTTAGCCTGACAGCAGCATCAGGCAACGTGTCGTGACGTCTGGCAGCACTTGGACTACGTGTTTTTAATGAGTCTCAGCTACTACCAAGCAAAGTTAGGCTTGTGTTGTGGCAAACACCGTTTGGTTGGGTGTCTGGGTTTGGGGATAAGATGCTCCTTCAGCAGGACAGAGAAAACCTTCATTGTCAAATGTTTGAACAGATTTGGCTGACGTCACTGAGAGCGAGGTGCAGAGAAGGGTGTGAACAGATCTGGTGCCGTTTTGATGGATTTGTGCAGATTTAGTGTGGCGGAGCAGCTTTCATGACTCATTTCCAACATTTAGTCAGTGGACCGCCTTCATTTCTCTGCCCTGGCCGTCTGTGCAGCGTGAGGCATGACCGAGGCGTGTCTGTGCTGGAGGTCACTCCACATTACATGTATGAGCCGTGGCATCTCATGTGTCTTTGTCTGTAACGCTCTGGAGGTAAAACAAACCTTTACTGTCGTAAATCAAGACTTTGATGTCTCTGCTGCATACGGACCGGTCAACCATCCCCCGGATAGCAGGAAAATGCAAGAGTTTCACAGTTTGGGGTCAAGGAGAACGATTTGAAGCAGCAGCTCAGGACGGGAACATTAAATGTGACGACAGAGGAGACCGTAGGTTTGACAGAAAACAGTAATGGCACAGCAGTGAGTGTGAGATGAGACGTGTCCCGACATCCTGAAACGGGATTCAGTGGGAAAGTTATGAAGACTTCAAATCTAACCTGTTGATAATTGTAAATAATCTTTTGAACAACAACAAGTCTGAAGAAACAGGGTTCAACTCGAGACTGGACTAACAAGCTCATGGCTAGTCTGAACCTTAGAGTCTTGACTTGGACCAGAAGCTGGAAGATGACGCCACAAAGAGCTAGTGCCCCCTACTGGCTGGCTGCAGTACAATTTGTAAGACCTGTCCCTCCCTTAAAATAAAGAATGGGACATTTTTTCCGTCCAAACAAAAAACTAATTCAATTCTATTTATTCATATAAGACAGTTTCACATCAAAGGTCATCTCAGGGCACTGTGAAAAACATTTGCGTACGTTATTAATGCCTATTAATAAAAGTATCTATCTAAGGAGACCAGCAGATTACGTGGGATCTTCACTTCATCGCAGTCTCCCATCCCGAGCAGCACAATGGCAGCAGTGGAAAGGAATGACTCCCTTTGAACAGGAAGTCCCCTTCAGCAGACCCAGACCCAGGCTAAGGATGGCCAGGCCATCTGCCTTGACATGATGGGGTTTGGGAGGACAGGAAGGAGACAGACAAACGGTCACAGGTTGGTGGTGCTCGGTTCTGGTCCTCCTTGGATCATGGATGGGAAACACTGGAGTGTCGGCTGGCTCCACAAGAGAGGAGCCTGATAGCTGAACGCTCTGGCCTCTTGCTGGAGAGAACTGTTCTCCCTTACATTGTTGACTCAAAAAGAGCCACACTCGACGGCAGGAGAAGATTTTTAACCAGGATTTTACTTTCAAGGTCAGATTTTCAGCACCGGTTACATAAATATACGTACAATGTTCACACATGAGGACAAGACACGAGAAGGATCTGCTGGAGCTGCCCCCTCCGCCTGCTTTTACATCCTTATCAGTTCAGCTGAGTTCACAGGGCCCAGGAGGCGTCCTTGGAGTCAGCTGCAGCCTCACCCAGCTCCTCCGCTAATCCAAACATATGGTTCATGGGCAGAGATAAGATTCAATACAAACATCCATGACCTTTGATCAAAGTTCTCTGACACTTCTGTTCTACTTGTAGAAACTCCAGGGACCACAAGTAGACCTGCAGTCTGAGAGCAAAGTGCTCTGCCAACAGAGTTTGGAACAATAAGGTCTTTAATAAATGGTGGACCTTGGATGTTGAGAGCTTTGTCTGTTTGAAGGACAATTTTAAATCCTGCCTTTTGTTTGTGGACAGGAAGCTGAAACTGGATAAATATATCTCCTAACAGTGTTGACTCTGGTTATTCTTTGTTGAAGCATTTAGTCTTTTATCCAAAGGACTTCTTCAGTCTGAGGAGCTGCAACAAACTCAGTTTAAAAGCATCACCTTCACTTTTAAGACCAGTGGTCATTCTGTATGTTGCAGGAGTTCAGAGAAACTGAGATGTTTATTTTCTTAAAACAACGCTTTTAAACCCCAAAATCCATCACGCCAAAGACTGGTCCGTCCCAAAGATCCAGGCCCCCGGCACAAACAGAGTAATGTTGTGTATGTTGT